GGTCGGGTCTATGCAAACTGCCTTCCAGGACCGTGGCCTTTCGTCTTCCGTTCTGAATTGATGAAATTGACGAATGTTTTCTCTCGCCACCGCTTCTTTCAGTGCATCATATGAAGGGTAAACTGCGCCGACTTCAATCCTTTCAGTCTGAGAATCTACCGCTTGAACATATGATTCTTCTAGCTCCACATTGGCCCAGGTGGTGTCTACTGCCTCGTCACTATCATCGCTCGTGGATGAATTGGCGTCACTACTAAAACCTTGTTCAAAGTCTGGGTCGTCCGACTCTTCACCCAAGTTTAATTTGTGACTGTACAAAGTAGATACATTCATAAATTTCAATATTATTATCTACTAAAAAAATAAATAACATATTATTTGAAGGTTATAAAATGTACCATGAATATGTTATGAACTTGGTTTATTTTTGAATTCATATGACTTAATGGGTCAAATTTCAACTTAATCAACATGAAAGTCAACTTTGGCCAACCTTTTCGGGACGGAGGGAATACTAAAATAACTACTTCTAAATTTCTAATTTCAAAATTTAACTCAAATTATTAATTTAACACAAATTTTGAATTTCTAGAATTGAACACAATTTTTGTAAAAGTCTAAATTTAACTAATTTCTAGAATTGAACACAATTTTTTATGAAATTTCTAAAAATATCCCCTTGTTGGATTTGTTAGTTCCGACTGGAACTAAAATTTTTATATTTGACGCTAGTTCTTTTTTATTATTAGAACCATAAAATATCTTGAACAATTTTTAATATTTTGGAAACAATAAAATTTTTGGAACACCTCCTCCTGTCGGATCAACCAATTCCGAAAAGGGTTTTAATACAAAATACCCACATTAAAGAAAAGAACGAAAAGGAATGTCAGTAAAAAAATACTAATCCATTTTTTGTTTACGAAAAGCAATGTCAGTATTCCTATTCTTATTTAACAATATAATCATGCCAACTACTATGTATACGAAAAAAATTGGTTCACCTAGTCGGATTTGTCAATTCAGACAGGAGGGATGCACGAAAATATGAACTAGCCTCTTGTCGGAACATCCAATTCCGACTCCCGTATTTTGATAACCTAATTACATTTCCGGTATTTTGGCGTGTCAGACCAAAAGTTCCCGCATTTTGGTAATTTCCTCCAAATGTGCTCTTAATTTATGATCATTGGTTTATAATTTGATGAGTAAAAGTTGATGACACCATAGCCGTTCCGGAAAAAATTAGCTTAGAGTTGATACTTAATTAATAGTATTTGATAGTGAACTACTGAACTATTGCCACATGCAAATTAACGAGAAGCTTTCTCATTGAATTTAGTAAATTAAAGGATTAATAACCAAACACTTGCTCTCCAAGTTTGGACTTTATTTGATCAATCTATAAAATGAATATTAAAATTTAGAAACAAATCCACTAACTAGAACCGTAAGATTCGATATTTCATAAATGAACCTTTAACATGTAATGATTGTAACAAGAACTGCTTACACATATAAATCCGTTAACTAAGATTCAGTTATATATGTGAGATGAAGTAACATATTGATACGTTAGTATGATTCGATAAATATTAAATATTAATTAGGACTGTAATTTGCTGGTCTGGTCTGGTTTCTTTATATTTTTATAACTATCCAAGTCTGGTTTGATATGGTCTGAATTGGTCTGAGAGGAATTACAGTCCAAGTAAAAACATCCTTAAGATACGGAGTAGAAGAAACCATTTTATACAACAACAACAACATCCAAGCCTTAGTCCCAAAAGATATTGGGGTCGGCTAACATGAATCGATACATGATATCACAACCAAAAGGAAAAGAAGGAAAAAAGATAAAAAGATAAGCTATTATGAAAAGATAATATAAAAAAGATGAATATATATAAAAATGATAAAATAAAAAGGCTGCAAATAATGCATATATATATATATATATAAGGATAAAAAAACTAGGAAAAAAAAGATGAGGGAAAAAGATTATCAAGATCACTCCTTCACATGAATACCCGCCCTCCACTTAGTTCTCTCCAAAGTCATGCCCTCATCCAACCCCAGAAGAAGCATATCACTTCGAACTCCCCTAACCCACGTCTGTTTGGGTCTTCCTCTCCCTCTCTTCCCTGCCTCTTCTCCACACATCTCAACTCGCCTAACAGGTGCATCACTCGGTCTTCTACGCACATGACCAAACCACCGTAGGCGCGACTCCCGCATCTTTTCTTCAATAGGTGCTACTCCCACCTTTTGTCTGATTGTCTCATTCCTCACGCGGTCCTTCCTAGTATGCCCACACATCCAACGCAGCATGCGCATCTCTGCCACACTCATCTTTTGAATGTGACATTGTTTCACCGCCCAACACTCTACGCCATACAGTAATGCAGGCCTAATTGCTGTCCTATAAAATTTACCCTTCAGTCTAGTCGGCATACCTCGGTCGCATAGAAATCCTGACGCACTCTTCCACTTCATCCACCCTGTTCTGATTCTGTCGGATACATCTCCCTCTAACTCACCGTCCTTGTGAATTATGGAGCCCAAGTAACGGAACATATCGCTGACTGGTATCTCCTTACCATCCAGAGTAATTCCGCTATTACCACTACTTCTACCTCCACCAAACTTGCACTCCATGTACTCTGTCTTGCTCCGACTTAGTTTGAAACCCTTATTCTCCAATGTTTGTCGCCATACTTCCAACTTTGCTTTAAGACCTGATTGCGTCTCATCAATCAATACAATATCGTCGGCAAACATCATGCACCACGGTATATCATCTTGAATTGACTTCGTAAGTTCATCCATGACTATGGCAAATAAGAAAGGACTCAAGGCTGATCCTTGGTGCACTCCGATAGTAATAGGGAACTCTTCAATCCTCCCTACACTAGTACGAACACTTGTAGTACAATCCTCATACATATCCATGATGATGCTGATATACTTGCGTGATATGCCTTTCCTAGTTAAGGCCCACCAAAGAACTTCTCGAGGTACCCTATCATATGCCTTTTCTAAGTCAATGAACACCAAATGCAGATCCTTATGAGCGTCTCTATACTTCTCCATAAGTTGACGAAGAAGGTGAATAGCCTCAGTTGTTGAGCGACCAGGCATAAAACCGAATTGATTCTCTGAAATCTTCACAGTCCTTCGAAGTCTTTGCTCAATCACTCGCTCCCAAAGTTTCATGGTGTGACTCATAAGCTTAATCCCTCGATATTTGGCACATTCTTGTACATCACCTTTATTCTTAAATAAAGGGATAAGAGTACTCTTCCTCCAACTCGTTGGCATCTTGTTGTTTCTCCAAATCATGTTGAAGAAACTTGTTAGCCACTCGACGCCTCTCTCTCCCAAACTTCTCCAAGCCTTGATCGGTATGCCATCTGGCCCCATTGCTCTTTTCCGTCTCATCTTCCTCAGAGCTTCTTTAACTTCCGTTGTTTGGATCCTTCTCACAAAATCACGGTTTACCATACAATCTGGTATGGACAAATCGCCGATATCTTGCATTTTGTTCCCGTTGAATAGTGTATCAAAGTATGACCTCCACCTCTCTTTTATCTCTCCGTCGTCCATTAATATCCTCTGATCAACATCCTTCACACACTTAACTTTTGCAATATCTTGAGTTCTGCGATCACGAAGACGAGCAAGTCTATAAATATCTAGTTCTCCTTCCTTAGAGTCCAACTTTTCATACAACTCCTTGTTCACTTTCCCTCGTGCTTCCCTTACGGCTTTCTTTGTTTGTCTTTTAGCCTCCTTGTATGCTTCTATGTTCTCATCACTCCAATTTGTCCCCAACTTTTTGTAGCAATCTCTTTTGTTCCTTATGGCTTGTTTCACCTCATCATTCCACCAAGATGTGTCCTTTTTAGGTGGCCGACATCCTTTAGATTCTCCAAGTACCTCCTTTGCCACTTTGTTAATGGTCAACTCCATTGATAACCACACATCATCCACCTGTGTTTCATTATCAATACGCCATACATCTTCACCGACCATTTTGTGTGTAAAGCTTTGTTGAAGATCTCCCTCTAGCCTCCACCACTTTATCTTTGGCTCCACTTGTTGTTTAACTTGTCTTCTATGGTTCTTACCTCGAAAGTCAAGCACAAGCATCCTATGCTGAGTGACAACACTCTCACCTGGAATAACCTTACAATCAGTGTAGCTAGTTCTCCCAGTGGTCCGTACTAAGAAGTAGTCAATTTGGGTACTATTAGCTCCACTTTTATAGGTTACAAGGTGAGAGTCTCTTTTCTTAAACCAAGTGTTCATTATAGCCAACTCATACGTCAAGGCAAAATCCAAAATGTTCTTTCCCGCCTCATTCCTAGTGCCAAAACCATGTCCGCCATGAATATTCTCAAAGCCATCACGACTCGAGCCCACATGCCCGTTGAGGTCACCTCCTATGATCAACTTCTCTCCCCTTGGCACTCGTCGCACCACGTCTTCAAGATCTTCCCAGAACTGTTGAGTTGTAGATGCATACAATCCCACTTGTGGTGCATAGGCACTTACCACAGACACAATCTCACCTCTTATCACCAATTTAATGCTCATGATGCGATCGTTCTTCCTGAAGACTTCTACCACATCATCAACATAGTCACGCGCCACAATAATGCCTACCCCATTTCTAGTCTTATCTCTCCCCGAATACCACAACTTAAAACCTCCGGGATTAATCTCGCGTGTTTTCTCTCCAACCCATTTAGTTTCTTGCACACACATAATGCTGATATTCCTTCTGCTCATAACCTCGACTACCTCGGAAGATTTCCATTTAAGAGACCCAACATTCCATGTCCCAAAACGCAACCTAGCATTTCACCTTCTGTTCTTAGCCCCATCTCGGACCCCACCATGCCCTTGCATATTTGACATCATCCCTTCTATTCTTAGAAGAAACCATTTTATAATCAACAAAAAATCAATAAAAATCCACTAAATTAAAGCAAGAATTAAATCATAAACTAGTAACATTCTCAAAGTTCGGACCAAAATATACATATTTACGGTCCATATTTACATATGCTTCACGACCAAATTAAGATCATTCTCAAGATAATATGATGTAATGAATAACACAGTAAGTGCCATTAGTCCCAGAATAGTAACAGTTCTCATAAACCCTAAAGTCAGAAGAAAGTAATTATGGTGTTATGTGCAGGATGCATGCCTAGAACCAAAAATGATGGATCACTTCAAAATAGTAAGGCCCTAACACAGCAACTCTTGGATCAGTGAATCCACATCTTCTTCTCTGAGTGTCCCCTGCTGACTTGAGGAGGAAGCCAAAACAGAGGATGGCGGCGAGGAACATTCTGGAAAAGCGGGACCGTCGCCCTGCTCCGGCTGCAACTCCCGGATCATTGATCCAATGTCTTCTCCACTAATCAGCCAATCATCTTCCCAAGGAGTATTGAATGTCTCCTTCTCAATTGGCGAGTAGCAGCAGGGTTCACAAATCACATGGCCACCGCCCCAGGCCAGAACAGAGGACGGCGGCGAGGAATATTCTGGAAAAGCAGAACCGCCGCCCTGCTCCGTCTGCAACTCCCGGATCATTGATCCAATGTCTTATCCACTAATTAGCCAATCATCTTTCCAAAGAGTATCGAGTGTCTCCTTCTCAATTGGCGAGTAGCAGCAGGGTTCACAAATAACATGGCCACCGCCCCCAGCCAGAACAGAAGACGGCGAAGGATATTGCGGAGGAAAATTAACAGGACACCCTCCCTGCAGTTGCCTCTGCTGCACCTCTCGGATCACTGATTCGATAACTTCGTCAGCCAACGGTCCGCCGCTGTTCCAAGCAGTATTCTCGCCCGGATCACCGGACATGGGCGAAGAAAACCGAGCAGAAAGAGGACCGCTGCCCTCCCGCTGCGACACTTTACCCACTAATCCGGTTCTCTTTTCACTCTCGCCCGCCGTCTCGGGAATACCTGCTGGGTCGCCGTACATGTAAGGGTTTCCGGCGGGAGAGAAGAGGACCGCCGCAATTTTGACTCCCGGGAATAGGCTGCAGAGTTCATCTGCCTTCTTGAACAGCCCCTTTTTGTGTTTGGAGAAGCAGACGTTTCGGGCCGGTAAACACTCGATCTTCTTCATCAGAATTTTGGACTTTCCCTTCCCCATGGATCTTCTCTGATTTTAATTTGTAAGAATAAGAATTAATGGAAGCTTAATGGCTTCACTATGATATTGCGACTCTTATATATAGGGAAGCGAGGGAGTGTAATCCGTAGTAGCAACCTAGACGTTGACCCGTTTCTCTTTTTTATTTCCTATTATTTGACTCATTTAATTAATAATTCGTATCTTTGAAATGCTGTTATTCCTCTTACTTTTTGATCAAGTAAGAGGTAAATTGACTTGATTCGATAGTTTTTAATTTTTTGTAGCGAATATTCTAATTAGAAAATGCACTATGTGACGTAATAAACATCATATTTTTGTTATAGAAATATTAGCAGTTAATATACTTCTATTTAGTAATTATTATTATCAATTAAGAAAAATGGTAAAATTATATTATAATTATAATAATAACAACTTTCGAAACTTTAATTTAAAGATGGACTTTCTTTTTTTACTTTTTGAACCGTGTAAGCGGTGGTATATAACGTAGAGGAGCAAATGTAGGGCCCAATTGATAACACTGAAATTGATTGAATCGGTTAATCCTGCTAAAATTAATATATATTTGATTTCTCTGAAGTGACTGAATTTGCTGAATATGCTGAACTATGAAAAATATTATACTTAATGATAAATAAAGTAGCTAGTTTTAAAAAGTTCGATTTGTTCGGTTCGGTTCGATTTTGTGACGTGAAAACCAAAACCGAAACCAAACAACTACGGTTCGGTTCGATTTTTTGAGTTCGGTTGTTTTAGTTGCGGATCGAGTTTTTTCGATTCGGTTTTCGGTTTTCAATGTACTTATTTGTTGTTTTTAAAAAAATGTAGAGTATAGGAAAGAAAAAATGTACAACGAAATAAAAAGAGGTATCCATAAGACAAAAATTACCTTAATTTCAACCTCCCATTCCTCGGGCGTAAGATTAAATATGTTGGTGGACGAATGATACACATTGCTCGTTTTATTTTTAAGCAATAACTAGGCTTCATATTTTCTTTTAAAATAAGTGTGTTGATTTTTCATTTGCTTCTGTACAACAGAAAATTTACGAGTCACATTCAAAACGCAAGCAGCTTTCTTCAAACTTTCTTTCAAGAAAGTGCTTTCAGACTACTACCTTCCTGCCAGTTTACAAAAATCTCATAGATAGAGAGGTCTCAAGAAATACTTCACCACATTAATATTTTTCCAGCTTATCCTACATATTTTTTGCTTTTTTGCCAGCGTGTTCCATACCTTAAAAATGAAACACGTATATCCCAACAATAAACAATTCATAGAGCGCTAATAGATGGGTAATTTATCCTATAAAACAAATGCACTCTCTCAAAAATGCATACATTCAATACTTGGCATTAAATCTGCAAAACTGCATATATTTCTGGGTATATGCATCGACATATGTTTCACTAAAAAGTAGATGGCATCAAATTCAATTGAAAAATATAGAAACGAAAAGTATTCACACTCCTCGACCTATGTGGATTAGGAGTGCAGCAGATGCAAAATAAAGAAAAATGATGCCTGAATCATTGGCAGCAAGTGGGGGGGGGGGGATTCATCATCACTAGCTAAGGGTGGACCGGGCCCGGGTTGGGACCGGGTCCGGGTCGGGCCTTGGGCGGTAATGGGTTTGGGAGTTGGAGACCTCGTACCGGTCCGGGTAGGTTCCGGGACCGGCCAGGGTCGGGCCTTATATATTTTTTAAAAAAAATTGTTTTTCTTATTTATTCCTACCCCACCCCAAACACCCCAAACAACCCAGCCCAACCCACCTACCACCCAATGCATTCGGAAAAAAAAAAACATTTTGGGCCCGGACAAGTCCCGGACCGGCCGGGCCGGTTCCAAGGGAGCATGAGCCCGTGACCCGCCCCATACCCCCCCCCCCCCCCGGTTCAGGCCCAAGGCCCGGTTCAAGTTAATCGGGCTGGGCCGGTACCACACAGTGTCGGTCCAGTTCGTGTACGGGACTGGTCCGACATGTCCTCGTCCATTCCTATCACTAGCTAGATGGGCATGTGCATATTCTAATGTGCAGTCTCACTAGCTACTATTGCCGAAGCAGGAGCATTAACAATGTTGGAAGTTTCACCTAGATGTGTTCGATATACTGGAGTGGTCTTCCTTGACTTCAAAAATCATTATTGTTCTTGTTGTCTAAAATAACTAGATGGGTACCAAGTTGTCATAGATTATTAGCTTCCTCTATGGGTCACTTTTTAATAATTTAGAAAATAAAATTATATACATAAATCACATGAATGCATGATGGATGAAACTATCCTCTTTTATGTATTAAACTTTTTATTACTTCTTTTTGAAGACCAAACATAAATAACATTAACCTAATATGCTAAAACGCAAAAAAATATAAACCTACCATATGAATTGAATTAGCCTCCTCTGTGAACTACTTTTTCAGTTTTTCTTAATTTGAGGTAATGCAAATTAGCTAAATTATACTACACACAACAAAACCTAAGGAAGAACACATCCGAAAATCATTCATGAACCTCTAATATGAAACCATTGAACATCAAACATGAAGTATAACCATACGACATATGTAAATTAAATTACAAAAGATTGACCTAAATATAAAATTGTAATGAATTTACCTAAAAATTCGAAACTGCAGTGCATAGGTAGTGAAAAGTATGATAGAGAACAAGGATAAACTCTTATTAGGGGAAATAGAAAGCAAAAGAAAGATTAAATATGAAATATGTATGGAGAAGGTGAGGGATGAAAGTTGGATATGAAATACCAATATAGAGAAGATGAGGGATGACCGGATGAGAGCTAGAGATGAAATATGTAGTATTTCATCACAGTACGATCGAGATATGAGCAACGAAGTAGCAATGGAGGAACGAGGGTTAGAAAAGAGATAGCGGCTACATACTATGTCTGAAGCCTAAGGACTTTTCAATTTGGGCAGAATGACCAAGTCAAAAATGGTCTTAGCGAATAAGTCATATTGTAAAATAAGTCCTATGTAAAGACCGGTATATAGCTGAGTAGCTGACCGAATAAGTTGTTTCCATTTAGACCATTAAGTCGAAAGTAAACGCCCCTGTAGTGTAACGGATGAGTGAAATACTGAGTTAAGGTTCTGCACCTAAATTCAATCAATTTATTAGATAAATTGAAATCCCTATACATATTTTGGCTTCTGGGGTTGTGAAGATATGCCAGCGCATTTACAGTGCTACAACCTTCATCTTAAGATTCCAAGTTGTTCCATCCAAATCTCTTTCCTACACTGTCTCACGCATAGACATGAACTTTATTACAACAAAAACCATCTGGTCATCTCCATGTCTTGCTGGCATGCATGCTTGCAATTTCAATACCTAAATGAACAATAGCAGAACAAGGACCAGCAGTTTATACCAAGATATCAATACATAAGAAAAAATTGAACTTTTAGTCCACAAGGTATATCATTGGTACACTTCTAGTACACAAATTGCTAGTGTCAACATTTTCGGTCCTCCATTTTCCTGAAGTAGCTATTTAGGTAGTCCTCAATTACAGTTTTGAGATTGAACACTAAAAAGGTCATTTCGAGAAAACTTAGACTAAAAATGCAGAGTTTATGACATCACATACCCGGCTGAAAGTCTAAGGGGTATAACTCAGAGACAAAGTGTCATGATTCCCATACAAAATAACTATGAACTGTGGAAGAGAAATTGTAACTAAATTGTTGTACTAAATTTTCTCTCTCAGTTATTAATGGGGTGAGGGGAAGTGGTTGAGTTAGCGACTCAACTTTATAAAGGGCTTTATGTTATTTTTAATTTGATAAGATATATTGTAAGATTACATATCTATGTACGACAGTACATGGCTGTAAAGATAAATCATACACTTCAACAATTATAGAATATTATCATCTCCAAATATTACAAGTAAAAAGACAATGCAACAAACATTTACTCTTATGATAAATCTAGACTCTAAACACTTTGGCTATTCTAGATACTACAGACCAAACAAAAAGGGCCAATACTAACGAAACCCAACCTAGAGGGATCCAAATCATGTTTAGAATTTGAACAGGAGTGCAATGGAAGAAGGGTACCCTAAACATAAGACTATACTATGAAGCCCATATGTGCATATAAATATCTAGATATACATGATAAAAATACATGTTCAATTATTTAACTACAATAAAAACTACGGAGTAGAAAAAAGGTCAGCCTAAGGAAAAGTACCTGCTGCAAATTGACCAGGAAGGTGTAGGACAGGTCAAGATAAGTCAAATCTAAAAGCCCACATAAAGACAAGAGCCCATCAGACCCAACTGATGGGCATGACATTAATACTAATGACTTGATGAGAGGACACAATTTTGTTGTGGCAGATAAGCCGTCATCCTTAAGTTGGCTGCACAAAGAACCAAAACAAGCAGTTGCATCATCAGTATGATACACAGGGGAAAAAGTTACTAATAGCCTAACTAGATTCTAGAACACTCCGCCATAAAATGCAAGTCTTTGTCTGTTTGTCACTGTAGTGTGTGTATCAACTTTTAATAAACTTTTAAATAGCTTTGGTGAGAACTAAATGAAGAAAAGTAGTTCAAACCAGACTAGGTAAGTCAAATATACTCGCCTTAGAATCTGGTTCCCACATTGCAACTTGAACAGACACCCATTGATGTGTCAAACTAATTTCCTTATTTAAAAAAAAATGCACAATAAACCATTGCAGCAATTATCAAGAACAGAAATGAAAGTGTCTTCCCAACGTGGTAAACCTTCAATCGTAAAGTCCCTTAATGAAAACAATCAATCCCATGCAACAAGAATGTAGTCCCTCTATATGTGAGTGATCTGCTATGAGTGCCAATGCACCATAAATGGCCTTGCAGTTCAAGGTCTCCTTTCACTCCAGCTGTTTCCCATATAAACTTAAACAACCCCAGGGCTCGATCGAGCTGCTTCACTACTCTCAAAAGCATCTTGTCTTCATATGATGTCAATATTTTCCCCATGCAAAGGCGGAACTTATCCCCATGA